TCTTCATCTCCCATCTATTTCCTATACGTATTCCTCACATATCTCAGTCGCCTCGAGTTGCAGCTCCTCAACGATTTTCGACTCGACGAAGCGACATCCTCGTGGCCGGACGCGAAACTATTCACTCGAGATTCTACAGAGTGGGACCCAGAGTGGGAGTGGTGCATCCATAGAGAGAGAGAGAGAGAGAGAGAGAGAGAGAGAGAGAGAGATGTATTGAGTTGATTTGAAAAAAAAAAATTATACTCATTCGCTCCTATGATTTCGATGGTTCCCAGTTAAATTGAAGTGGTCTCCTAGATGGCGCTGTACAACGTCGTTATCCTGAAAGTGCACGGACACCCCAGGCGCCAGGAGTTTCAAAATGAAAAGTTAGAGTCTCGGGGTAAAGAGGATGAAGTCGCGGACTTGGAGTTCGAGAGTCCCTTATCGTGGATCGAAGATTATACTACGTGAGAGAGAGAGAGAGAGAGAGAGAGAGAGAGAGAGAGAGAGAGAGAGAGAGAGAGAGAGAGAGACTCTTTTCTTGGCAATCCGTAACTTTGCCATTCGACGTAACAACTCGCCGGGCTGAAGAGTTCCTTTCTCTTTCTCATCCACTCCTTCCCAGCAGTCATCCAGTTGGTCCATCCACTCATATATCCGCTACTCAAACCTTTCCAACCTACTCAACCTGCTCGACCTACTTCATGCGTCCTCAACCCCTTCCACCTCCCACAGCTTCCCTCGAGGAAAGTAGCAACTTTCGAATAAACAGTTACCCCTTCTGGGCGTACGAGTGAGTCGACCAGATCTCGAGGGTCGGAGGGATGAAGAACTCCCGAAGGTAATGAGCGCAGCCTCCACCAGGAGGACCATTCCGGCGCCTTCTTCCGGTCTTCCAAACCGCCCTTATAATCTACCCAGGTAACGTTAAAGAGGATCGGCGAGGGATGGGAGTGTGGAGATCCAGAAGAGCCTCAGGGAGTAGGGGGCGGTTGGGAGGGGGGTGAACGCCATACCTCATATATATATATATACAAGCCATGTTACTCTCTCCTTATCAGTCTCTACTCCTATCTCTTTCTCACTCACTTTTTTCCTTTCATCCCCTTGCTCCCGACACCCCGTCGAGCGATGACGTGGGCGATCAGTCAGCGATCTTCTCCCAGGAGGCAAAGCACCTGTTGCCCGAACTACGAACGCACGCAGCCCACTGACTTCTTGTTTGAGACAGACCTCAGGGTTAGGGTATAAAAAAAAGTAATCTTACATAAAAGCAAATTAATGGATTATTTTCTTTTTTCTGATGATATATAAATATTTTTTATATTATACTGCTACCAGTCTATTTCAGCACAGCAGTAGTCACGTTCAATCTCTGTAGTAAGAATTTACTATTTTTTTTTTTTATATATCGTGTCGAGTGTCCAGTCTTATCTGTTGATAACGCTAAAAATTGTATGCTCTATTAAAATGAAGATAGGCCCGAAATAGTTTGACTATAATTTTTATCGAAAGGAGCTACGACTGAACAACCGTGTCCAAGGGGCTTCTCGAAACAAGAGCCTTGGCACCTGTTGCCATCCGGATTTACATTTTAATAGAGGCACCTCGAGCCGCCACGACGAGCTAAGTACGACGTCATCTACGGCCAACTAATTAGACGTCGTTCTTACGAAGACGTCGACGCCGCTGTCGCCAATGGCAGATTCGTAAGCCCCAGCGAAAGCGATGTAGTCCGAAGATCAATTCGCAAGTATCAGGACGGAGTTCACGCCTGTCCAGGCTGATCGTGATCGGAGCACCAGGGGTTGGCAACCCTGTAACTTGGCTGCGAGGAGGAACCCAATAGGATCACCGGAAGAGCAAAGGGAGCGAAGCGCGTTCACGATTCAATCAGTGAAGTTAAAGCGAGCGCGAAATGATGCGGCGGGATCCTCCCGTTCTACCGACCCTGCGACCACCCCTAGTTCACTCCGCCAACCCCTTTTCAAACCTCTAGCATTCAGTCCCAACGGGCGTAACCCTCTTACAGTCTCGTGGGTGAGCGGCGCCAAGGTTATCAACCAGACCCCTCCCCCCTTCGCCGCAACTCACACCTTTTGGTGCAATTACAAAAAATCAGATTTCGTCTAACCCTTCACCCTCAGCTACCCCAGTTTCCTTCTTGTTTGTGATTGAACCCAAATTGCCAATCTAGATAAGAAAGAAACTGAAAATATTGGAAATTTATTTATTTATTTATTTTCCCCTGGCAACTTTTATGGGGTTTAAATATCAACCCTGCCTTTGACTTATTTGAAATTTTTTTCGGGCGTAACTTCTTTTTATTTATTATTTTTCTCACGCTTTTGCCCTATCTGCTATTTTGGGGTAGAATGTTTTATAATGGACTGTATAGGGGTTGTGTTAAGAATTATGATATATTGTCTGTTCGTTACAGAATTGGGGATCGTCTACAGGCTGGTAGCCCGGAAGGTGCCATTTTATAATGAACCGTCCCCGGAAGTTTCGTCATGCTTATACCTTTTTTATATGAATTTTAATCAATACACTCTGCTTTGATTAAAATTTCCAATTATGATTTATATTACGTAACTCAAGGGAATCAAAGTTACGAAAGACGTATGGATCACTTGCAGGGAACGTGATGCTGTAAGATGCAAAGTGTACCGACTTCGTTAAAGTACCTTATAAATTGCTTTCGAGAGACTTTGGTATCACTTTGATATTAAATCATAATTATCAATGGTAAGAAAAAGAAACGAGATCGTTAATTTTTTTGGGATTTTAATCAATAAAATTTTAACTGGCAAACAGAATATTCTGTTGGGTATATCCTGGTACCATTCAACTTCCTTTCTGTGTGATATTTTCTAGAAATACAGAAAATTACTAGCCTGACCCACTATACAGCAAATGAACGTTACGTTATTAGTCGAGTTTCTCCTTGAAATGTATATTTCAACATTGAAAATTCAATGCACGCTATGCCAAGTATCGCGCAACTTGACAAGCTCATTAGAGAAATAAGAGCATTGCCATGGACATTTCCATTGTTAAACAAATTGAATCGTAACGAACCCCAGTTAATAATTATTAGCTACATAATAGTACTGAGTAATGAAAACTTTATTATACCCCAAAACACTGTAAAAGCCATCAAGATTTGCACTTGAAAGGATAACGTAGAATAAAGTCAATTATGCTTATAATTTTCAAAATCCAATTTTGACTAACATCATGTGTCACATTTGGCTCGAATGCAAAATATGTAAATTTTCTAGTAAATATATGTATCGCAATTTGGTAATATTTATTAGAAATATTTTTATCACATATTCATTGCAATGTCAATTTTTCCAATATCATATATGCATTTCAATGGTAACAGATCTGCCAAACGTAAGTGGACTCCGTATAGCTTTATATCAATATTAACAATCATTATATGGATAATGAGCCCGTATAAAAGCATTATTAAAGTATTTCACAGATACGTAACATAATATATATTAAAATTATATGAATGAATAATATTTGAAATTGGTGAGGTATTTTATATCGCTCACGTTATTACTCAGTTTCAATGAAAAATTAATTGACGAGCATTTGATCAAAGCTGCCTACCTCGTGATGCACATAAATATCCAATATCCAAAATAGCACTATTAATTATGCTATGTGCCTGATATAGTATTAATGACAAATGTTGGATTTGAAATGTATTTGAAGGATTGACATAGCAAGATACAATCAGTTTCATTTTAAAATATATCCTGCGCGTGAGATAAGATGTCAAGGAGCATATAGCGTGACTAAAAGCAAAAGGCCGTATGCTTAAAGAAAATTCTGTTTATAAGCCCCTTTGTTTTTTTAGTCACGCGATATATTTATTTTTGCAACACCCCATTGCGTGAATAAGCATTACGCGCTTGTCGTGATCACGTGCGATTATATGTAATATATAATATTACACGAAAGCATGAATGAGAATTAAAATTCAAATAATTAGGAAACTATGTCAATATAATCAGTTATCTGTTACTTTCAATTCAAAATACACAATGACATAATGAATCTCTCATTAATTGCGAATAACGGCTGGCTTCACAAACACAGATGTGGTTGGATATAGCATTGCGGTACTTTATTAGAATTCCCACTAGTAATTCGTACGCTAGTACCCTTCCTTTAGTTTCATGTGAAAATTGGTCGGACTAACAAGATAACAATGGGTTTTCAGGTGATGGGGACAGTCCTCTACGAGAACAATGGATAATAGAATTTACAAGAGAATCCTTTAGAATTTTTGCAAAAGCCATTCGATGCATTAAACGAATGAAATGTATTCGCAAATGATTTGTAACGTGTGGCAATATCGTCTGAAGTACTTTTTTTTGTACTTTGTTACGTGGTAAGTATCGATACCGAGTATAGAGAAACTAGTGAGGTTATGTAACGCGTAAGATAACGTAACAGGATAAGAGAAAATAAAATGTGGTTAGTCGAGTGATATTGGATTACGTTAACTACGTGATAATTTAATGCTAAGTATACTGCGATATTTTTTGAATTTTCCCGCTCTTACGAATCAGTACTGGTTCACCCTGTAATGGGCGTTGAAACCACGCTTAACGTTTAAATTGCGGTCATTCAACTAACTTCAGATACTTTCCGCGATGCGGTGGATGTGGAATTAGCAGAATTTCGTGGATTGTTCTCTTAAGCTCATTTAGTGGCAAATGCGTGGGTAGCGCTTTTGTGTGTAATGGAGGTTATAGCAGCGATAGTCAATGTGTTCAGGAATTTCGGATTTTCGGATTTGGATCGTGAATTACGACGATTTCACTATTCGTTGGTTACTTAATGCTAGTTTCTTGCTATATTTTTCTATTAGTTGGTTAAATTAGTTATTGTTTGCTTCTCGTTGATAAACTCGAAGTCCAACAATTTCGTATAATTATTTTCTTATCGGATATACGATATGACTTGGGAAATATATCCCAGCGACAACGTAAATAACAAAAATATATTTCTTTCGAACAAAGTGAAACTCAGGTTAAGTAAAGTTCCATGGACACCTGATACTTTCCATAAATAAAAAGGTTATGATAATCAGCTTAAAGAACCTGATATTAACTGCACGAAATCTGTATCTTTTATTGAGTTACATGATAATTTTTATAGAAAGTTTTAATCTTACTAACAATCCTCCACTATTTTCTGATCACTTCTACTTCGATCTTTTAAAAATATAGAATAATCCGGTAAAACGCATTGATCTTCAAACGGGCTTCAAGAAGTAAACGAATCTTATCCAATACAATAATTATTGCATTTGTAATCTTTTACAAGGCTGGTCGCTCCATAAAAACTGACCACCGTAGAGACGTCGGTTTTCATATAACAAGTTCAGCATGTAATAACGGCGGACAACAATAATAAAAACAAGTATTCTGGATTCAGAGAATCAGAATGAAAATAAAAAACCAATGAACATAGTGTCTGAAGAAAAATTGGATGCTACATCCAACAATATAGCTACATTTAATCTGGTAATGTCTCACGCCCTTTGACTTTTTCAATTCAAGTGAGAAATTATCAGCGTCAATGCGTATGCTGCGTCAGTTTAACGTTCCTCTTGGTCTTAGTTTTTCTTATAGCCCAAGATATCCATGGAGGTTTCCTAGTACAGTCAGATCCCAAGTCAAAGGCTGGCCCGGATGCATGGCCACATGGGAAATATCCACTAATGCCCTTAAAGATGGTTCAGTCCTTTTAGTACGAACAGAACACTCGAACTCTGGCACCCTAGCACAGTGCTGCGAAACCTCTCGATTCCACGAGTATCCCGGACGGTGTGTATATATGTACGTATACAAAAATAAAAGAGAGCAAGGAACACAGTGGTCTTAGATTTTGTTCCCCTATTCCCTTGGCCAACCCAACACAGTCAGCATCAGTGGCAAAAGATTTGAAGCTTCGATTCCGATCCGTTAGTTCTTCTTTTTCCGCGAGTTGGCAGCACTGCTGTCATTTGATTGTTTAGACTTAGCTGCCTTGGAATTGCCAAAAGCGGCGGAAACCGCCATCTTCGTAAAACGTATAGCGACGTAAATCGAAACCAGGATTGCTGATATTAGGAAGACGTAAACGTCCACCAGGTGATATTGATACCAAGGAAGATCCACAGCCGGGCTCCTTATGAAGGGCACTCCGTCACCCCTTGCTATATACTCGGTCCACCAGACAGCTGTGTCCAAGGGACCTGCAGGTCGATCCTTGTAAGCCTTCGCCAGGAGTCGTGCATTCTTCAAGTATCTGCAATGCGTAATGATAATAAAATATCAAGAAGGAATATTCACGGCGAAAATTTAACGTATAAAATTTTTATTCCGGCAAAAGAAATGGTGTCGGTCCATAAATTGAATTGACTTGGTAGATGCATGAGAGTACGGCCTGCCGAGGGGAGAGGGGAAGTCGCACGTGTACATATCCAGTAGCCACCAGTCACCCGTCAACCCGAAGCACACAATTTACCAATCGCCGCTCTCCATTATTCGTGTTTACAGCTGTAGCCCGCGAATCAACCTGGCGCCATTATTTGCTCCGACAAATTCAGCTGCAGCCTGCAGCGGTTTTGAATTAACCATCAATTTTAAGCGGCTCGTCGATAGACGCGACTCTGTACTATATTATATGAAAAATATACACAGATATCTATACATATCTAAATAGTCAAGTGAATAGATATATATATATATATATATATATATATATATATATATATCTATTCACTTGACTATTTAGATATGTATAGATATCTGTGTATATTTTTCATATAATATAGTACAGAGTCGCGTCTATCGACGAGCCGCTTAAAATTGATGGTTAATTCAAAACCGCTGCAGGCTGCAGCTGAATTTGTCGGAGCAAATAATGGCGCCAGGTTGATTCGCGGGCTACAGCTGTAAACACGAATAATGGAGAGCGGCGATTGGTAAATTGTGTGCTTCGGGTTGACGGGTGACTGGTGGCTACTGGATATGTAATTGTGAAATAAATCCAATCCACAGAGAAGTATTACATCAGATGTCTTAGAAACAATGCCTTCTTCTGGTTTTATAATCTCGCGTGAATTGCACAACTTCTTGAAACCTAATGTAGACTATCTTTATGTAAGCTATCACCGAGGAGGCTTAACTCTACTTGATATCAGATATCAACTTGTAATATCGACCTTATCTGCGACCTCAAAAACTTATTTTGCTGCTTAGCCCATCTTGCAGCTTATTGCGTAACCGTCAAAGGGACCCTAAGCCACGGACCCAAAATCCTCTAAGATAGTAAGACTCCCATGTAATAAGATTCCCCTATCTCTGCGCCATAGAATAGCCAAAGCCACAAAGGACAACGTGCTAAAGGTGACTATGTAAAAGCCAAGGTCCAAGAGTTACATTGTAAATACGACGTCCATTTCCAGGCCACAAGAACCAAAGGAGAACGCGTCGTTGAATCCATTTCCAAGGAGATCTCGAGCTGGAGCTCCGATCCAATTAGATTTTTAATAAAAGTTTAGCCATCCCAAGCCGCGAGTCACGTCCAACTCGCGTCCCAACGGGTTCCAAAAAAATTAACTCTGGGACGTGCGCGCACAACTTTTTCCGTTTCCTTGACACCCGTTTAACCGACGGTTGCCGCCGCGACGCCCACCGTCGACACTATACCAATCCAACCTCTCACCCACCCCCCATTCTCTCCCACCTTTGGTAAACTTCCACCAACTTGAACCACCCTCCTGGACTCTTTTTTCTCGTTTCCCCTTTCTCAAGTTTCAGCCAGCATCTCTTTACTTCCGGTTACTCTTTCACAGGACACGGGTCTACGTATCCTCTCGCGTGGTATGAATCAACGAAGAGGCAGAGACGCCAAGCGTCTGCTTCCTCCTTGGTCGGGATCCACGCACTCCTTCCCACCTGACCCAGTGCTAAGCGTCTCTGTATCGTATCAAGGAGGTGGAGCTCTTGGCAAAGATTGCCGATGCATAAAGATGTCCCAAGAAACAGAGGCTGCCGTGTTCGCGACGCCGAATCTAAATTATCACACACCAGATAACAGATCTTCCCGTTGCCATAGGTCTCCGCTTACAATTCCGTGCTCCGACCATTTCCCTTTTCTTGCATTCGACAATCCATCCTATCCTTATTCCGCTCTCCGAGATCTGGTCTGCACGGTGCGCAAAGGCTTCCAAGGAAAATTCAATCGTTTCCCGACGATATAATACGTCTCGGTGTAACTCGATAAGTCCTCGACTAACGGGAACGACGTGAGAGAGATTGAAAAACGGGGATGAGAGGACGAGAGAGGCGAAGAGAAACGTGAGAGACGAAAGGTGTGTATCACCAGGTATCTACTGAGGTAGCAATTCAGTCAGTCTCTCTCTCTCTCTCTCTCTCTCTCTCTCTCTCTCTCTCTGTCGCTCCTAAGAAGAATCTCTTGGTCCGTTGCCATCCGCACTAAAATCACCTACGTAAGGGAAAAGTCGTATTGGAAAGCAACCTTAAAACCAATCCCTTGAAAATCGAGCCTCTTTAAGCATTCATATACTAACCCCAGGACCACTTTCATTTCCCATGTCAATTCGAATCAACGGAACGACGCCTGGCGTCCTTGAAACCCCATTCGGAGTTTCTGAATTCCTTATCTAAATCGTATCGAAACTACTACCCCTCCAGCCTCTTTCTCCTCGGTTTAACAATAATCACAGCATTTCCCTGTGCTCCCGTTAATATCTTAGAGTCCTTAATATACATATATGTATATCCAACAGCAAGTCCCGAAGCTCCTACACGGACTACATCTGAATACAGGTAGTCACCTTCGTGGGAGGAATAAACGCGAGGGTTTCGAGACAGGAATAAAGCGAGTCAGAGGGTGAGAATCGTGCGGGAGAATGTCAAGAGGGGGACACAGGTGCGTGAATTTACGGGGTGCAAAATCGCGACGACTCCCCACCACCCTGAGGGCACAAGAAGCACAGGGGTAGCCAGAACGAGCAAGATAGGGAAATACGAGCCAGAGCACATTTCGACTCTCAGATAAATTGGAGGAAAACGTCGCGAGAAGGTTGGTTCCAGGGGGGTTGGGGTGG